ATCGTGCTGGCCGGTGGCAACGCGCTGCAGATTGCCGAAGCGGCGCAGCAGATCGGCGTGAATGATCTGCGGCAGTCGGCATTGAAGAAGGCGGCTGCGGGCATTACCAGCCTAGCCGAGATCAATCGCGTCACCAAGGATTGAGGTAGATCCACGCCATGCGTGGATGCCGCGATGCATGAGGTTGCCGGCCAGCGGCCGGCACTACCGCTTGGGTCTGCGTTCGTGATCGGGATTGCGTGGTCCCGGCGCTACTCCATTCCCAGCTTCTTCAGCTTGTAGCGCAGCGCACGGAAGGTGATGCCCAGCTGCGCGGCGGTGCGGGTCTTGTTCCAGCGGTTCTCTTCCAGCGCGCGCTGGATGGCGCTGCGCTCGAGCTGCTCGATGTAGGAGGGCAGGGCGGCGCTGCCCGGCTGCAGGTCGGCCACGGCTTCGGCGGGGGCGGCACTGCCGGGCGCGCGCGGCGCGTGCTGCGGCAGGCGCAGGTCATCGGCACCGATGCAGTCTTCCTCGGCCAGTGCCAGCGCACGTTCCAGGATGTTCTCCAGTTCGCGCACATTGCCGGGGAAGGCGTACTGGGCCAGCGCCTCCAGTGCCGACGGCGCCAGCAGCGGGGTGGCGCGGCCATGGCTGCGGGCCAGCCGCGCCAGCACCGCGGCAGCCAGTTCCGGCAGGTCCTGGCGGCGCTCACGCAGCGGCGGTACCTTCAGTTCGATCACGTTGATGCGGTAGTACAGGTCGTGGCGGAAGCGCCCGTCCTCGACCAGTTCCGCCAGGTCGCGGTGGGTGGCCGAGAGAATCCGCACGTCCACCGGTTCCTCGTTGGGCGCACCAACCGCACGCACCGATTTTTCCTGGATCGCGCGCAGCAGCTTCACCTGCATCTGCAGCGGCAGTTCGGCCACTTCGTCCAGGAACAGGGTGCCGCCATGGGCGGCCTGGAACAGGCCCGGCTTGTCGGCGTGCGCGCCGCTGAAGCTGCCCTTGCGATGGCCGAAGAATTCACTCTCCATCAGCTCGCCGGGGATGGCGCCGCAGTTCACCGGCACGAACGGGCCGGCCGCACGCGCACCCTGGGCGTGGATGGTGCGCGCGACCAGCTCCTTGCCCACCCCGGACTCGCCCAGGATGTACACCGGCGCCTGGCTGCGCGCGACCTTGCCGATGGTGGTGCGCAGCACGTCCATGGCCGGCGAGTCGCCAAGCAGGCGCGCGCCCTGTTCGGCACTGGGGCCGGGCGCGGGGCGTTCGGTGTTGTTGAGTTCCAGTGCGTGCTTGACCAGGCCGCGCAGCACCGAGATGTCCACCGGCTTGCTGACGAAGTCGAAGGCACCGGCCTTCAGCGCTTCCACCGCCAGATCCATGCTGCCGAAGGCGGTGATCATCGCCACCGGCGTGCGCGGATAGTGCTGGGCGATCTCGCTGACCAGTTCGATGCCGTTGCCATCCGGCAAGCGCATGTCGGTGATGCACAGGTCATACGGATTGCTGGCCAGCAGTTCACGTGCTTCGGCCAGGTTGGCGGCGGTACTGATGCGCAGCCCCATGCGGCCGAGGGTCAGCACCAGCAGTTCGCGGATGTCGCGTTCGTCGTCGACGACGAGGGCGCTGCGGGTTTCGTTCATGGGCGTGAAAGATAAACGAGGGGGCTGGATGCGACAAATGTTTGACGCACGGAATCGGAATCAGGTGGGCAACAGCGTGTGCGGACCGGGCAGCACCAGGCGGAAGCAGGAGCCACCGGCCGGCACCGGGATGTAGTCGAGCCGCGCCTGGTTGGCCCGGCACAGCTCGCGGGCGATATACAGGCCCAGGCCAGTGCCGTGCTCGGAGGTGGTGAAGAACGGGCGGAACAACTGCGCGGCCACGCTCTCGGGAATGCCCGGGCCACGGTCCATCACGTCGATCACCGCGCTGCGCTCGTGCTGGGCCACGCGCAGGCGCACCCGCGCCGGCTGCTGGCCGATGCGCCCGTACTTGAGCGCGTTGTGCACCAGCACGGTCAGCACCTGGTACAGGTGGCGGGTATCGACCTGGGCCATCACCGCGCTGTCATTGATGATCGGTTCGATGCTGTCCGTTTCCAGCGTCTGCCCCTGCTTGTACTCCAGCACGAAGCGGCGCACGAAGGCGGCCAGGTCCACGTTCTCGGGCGTGGCGCGCTCGCGCCGGGCCAGCCCCAGCACGCTTTCGACGATGCCGTTGGTGCGCTGGCATTGCTGGCGGATGATCTGCAGCAGGCGGCGGTCGCTTTCGTTGAAGCCGGTGCCTTCCTCGAGCAGCTGCACGGCGTAGTTGATGGCCGCCAGCGGGTTGCGGATCTCATGGGCGAGGCTGGCCGAGAAGCGGCCCATCGCTGACAGGGTGAGCGATTCGGCGCGGCGGGACACCACGCTGGAATCGTCCAGGAACACGAGCGCCAGGTCGCTGCCGGCCAGCAGGCGGGCGAAGCGCGGCTGCACTTCCGGCTGGTCGGGGTTGAGCTGCAGCGGCAGTTCGTCCTGCGCCCAGCCATTGCGCCAGCGCTGCAGGCGGCGGGTCAGTTCCGGCGCGGCGCTGGCCAGGTCCAGGCGCCCGCTCTCGCCATTGCCGTCACTGTCGCCCAGCAGCATCGAGGCGGCCTCGTTGGCCAGGGTGATGCGGTTGTCGGCGTCCACCACCAGCACGCCGGTGCGCATGCGGCGGATGATCAGTTCGTTGATCTGGAACAGGTTGGCCACTTCGTCGCCGCGCTGGTTGGCCAGCTGCTGGTTGCGGCGGGCGCGGTTGCCGACCTGGTAGCTGATGAAGGCCAGCGCCAGGTAGCTGGTGGTGAACATCGCCAGCTCGGCCAGGGTGCGGGTGGGGTCGCCGCCTTCCAGCAGCTTCCAGGTGTATTCGACGCCGGTGGCGAGGCTGGCGGCCAGGGCCAGGCCCAGGCCCAGGCTGAGCGGCAGCAGGGTGGCGGCGGCAGCGATGTTGAACAGCAGCGACATCGAAATGCCGGCGCTTGCACCGGGCAGGGCATGCGACAGCAGGGTGGCGGCAACGATGTCCACCAGCACGCCGCTGACCACGATCGGCCGCAGCCAGCGTTCGTTGCGGCCGATCACCAGGGCCAGCAGCGACAACGCCAGATAGATGACCGCAACCACATCGGCCAGCCGCGGGTGATGGGCCTCGCCGACCAGGCCGGACAGAGGGCTGTAGAGCAGGGCGGCGATGACGGTTGCGATCAGCACCCGGTACAGCGCGAAGAAATACAGCTCACGCCGCGGGATCGATTCGATGCGGTCGATCGATGAAGCACTGGGTGACACGCCGGAACTCCCCTTCTGGCTGCCTGGGTCTGGAATCTGCGATGCACCGGTTCGGCGTCCCCTGAAGCCGGGCCGGCGCGTCGCTTCTATGTGGCCCGTGGTGGAAGCGGTCGAGCAGGCTCGACGCTGCACACCCTGGCTGACCAGTATAGGCCCCCGCAAAGCGTGCCGTGGGAGTGGCCCGGATCGCGCATTTGGCCGCCCGCGGACACCGGTAGCCAGCACGGGCCCGGGCGCAACTGCCTGAATGACGGTGGAAATCTGGCCGGGTCTGGCGTTTTGTACAGACTTCTTTGCGCCCCGGCGCTGGCTCGGCCACAATAGTGGGCCCGCCGCGGTCCATGCCGGCGCCCCGCCGGGGCCCTGAGGAATTGCGTGCGGTCGTTCCTATTCCCACGGTGACGCATGAATTTCCACGAATACCAGTCAAAACAACTGCTTGCCGAGTACGGCATCCCGGTCCCGGCCGGCAAGGTCGCTGCGACCCCGGACGAAGCGGTTGCCGCTGCCAACTCCCTGGGCCAGGGCCCCTGGATGGTCAAGGCGCAGATCCACGCTGGCGGCCGCGGTAAGGCTGGCGGCGTCAAGTTCTGCAAGACCACCGACGACGTGAAGGCCGCTGCGGCCAAGATGCTCGGCACCAAGATGGCCACCTACCAGACCGCCGGCGTTGAACTGCCGGTCAACCTGGTGCTGGTGACCACCGCCGGCGAGATCGTCAAGGAACTGTACCTGTCGGTGCTGGTCGACCGTGGCACCAAGACCATCACCTACATCGCCTCTTCGGAAGGCGGCGTGGAAATCGAGCAGGTTGCGGCTGAAACCCCGGAGCTGATCCACTCGCTGAACGTCGACTTCGTCGAAGGCGTGCAGGGTTACCACGGCCGTGATTTCGGCTTCAAGCTGGGCCTGACCGCCAAGCAGGCCGGCCAGTTCGCCAGCATCATGGTGAACCTGTACCGCCTGTTCAACGAAAAGGACCTGGCCCTGGTTGAAATCAACCCGCTGGCCATCCTGGACGACGGCAACCTGTACGCGCTGGACGGCAAGTTCGACAGCGACGACAACGCCGCGTTCCGCCAGAAGGCCCTGGTCGCCATGCGCGACAAGACCCAGGAAGATCCGACCGAAGTGATCGCTTCGGAGCTGGACATCAACTACGTCACCATGGACGGCAACATCGGCTGCATGGTGAACGGCGCCGGCCTGGCCATGGCCACCATGGACGTCATCAAGCTCAACGGCGGCGAGCCGGCGAACTTCCTGGACGTGGGCGGCGGTGCCAACAAGCAGCGCGTCATCGAAGCGTTCAAGCTGATCCTGTCCTCGGACAAGGTCGAAGGCATCTTCGTCAACATCTTCGGCGGCATCGTCCGCTGCGACATGATTGCCGAAGGCATCATTGCCGCCGTGAAGGAAGTGGGCGTCAAGGTTCCGGTCGTGGTGCGCCTGGAAGGCACCAACGTGGAAGAAGGCAAGCAGCTGCTGCGCGACAGCGGCATGGCCATCATCCCGGCTGACAACATCAACGATGGCGCCAAGAAGATCGTTGAAGCTGTCAAGAACGCCGCCTGATACCGACACCAAGGAATTCCAATGTCTGTTTTGATCAACAAGAACACCAAGGTGATCGTGCAGGGCTTCACCGGCCAGCAGGGCACCTTCCACGCCACTCAGATGATCGAGTACGGCACCCAGGTTGTGGGCGGCGTGACCCCGGGCAAGGGTGGCACCACCCATATCGACCTGCCGGTCTTCAACACCGTTGCCGACGCCGTGCAGAGCACCGGCGCCAACGCATCGGTCATCTACGTGCCGCCGCCGTACGCTGCTGACGCGATCCTGGAAGCCGCTGCTGCCGGCATCAAGGTCATCGTCTGCATCACCGAAGGCATCCCGGTGCTGGACATGCTGCGCGTCAAGAACGTGCTGACCCGTTCGCATCCGGACACCGTGCTGATCGGGCCGAACTGCCCGGGCGTCATCACCCCGGGTGAGTGCAAGATCGGCATCATGCCGGGCCACATCCACCAGCCGGGCAAGATCGGCATCGTGTCGCGTTCGGGCACCCTGACCTATGAAGCGGTCAAGCAGACCACCGAAGTCGGCCTGGGCCAGTCCACCTGCATCGGCATCGGTGGTGACCCGATCAACGGCCTGAACTTCGTCGACTGCCTGAAGCTGTTCAACGAAGACCCGCAGACCGAAGGCATCATCATGGTTGGCGAAATCGGCGGTGACGCTGAAGAAGCCGGCGCCGAGTACATCAAGAACCACGTGAAGAAGCCGGTCGTCGGTTTCATCGCCGGTGCGTCGGCTCCGGCCGGCAAGCGCATGGGCCACGCCGGTGCGATCGCCTCGGGTGGCAAGGGCACGGCGGAAGGCAAGTTCGCCGCCATGGAAGCCGCTGGCGTCGTCACCGTGCGTTCGCCGGGCGACCTGGGTGCCGCCATCGCCAAGCTGGTGAAATAAGATCGACTGCCTCCGGCAGACGATTCTGTAGAGCCGGCCGCTGGCCGGCTGCTTGAAACAGAAAGGCCGCCTCCGGGCGGCCTTTCTGCGTCGGGTGTCCTGGCCATCCCGCCAACCCCATCCACGCATGGCGTGGATCTACTGAGCCGGGGCTGTCCACGCAGTGAGCGCGCCCGGCGCGCGCATGGTGCGGCGCTACAATGGGCGCATTGCAACCACAGGCTGGATTCCCATGGCTTCGATCCGCATCGCGATGGCGCAGTTCGACTTCCCGGTCGGCGATGTCGCCGGCAATACCGAGCGCATCATCGAGATGATCGGCCAGGCGCGCGACGAGTACGGCGCCGAGCTGGTGATGTTCCCCGAGCTGGCCGTGAGCGGTTACCCGCCGGAGGACCTGCTGCTGCGCCCGGGCTTTCTGTACGAGTGCGAGCAGGCGATGGGCCGCATTGCCGCCGCCTGCCGTGGCGTGACCGCTGTGGTCGGTTGGCCGCAGGCCGCCGGCGCGGTGGTCTACAACGCCGCCAGCGTGCTGCGCGACGGCCTGGTCGAGCAGACCTACCGCAAGCGCGAGCTGCCCAACTACGCTGTATTCGACGAGCGTCGCTACTTCGATGTGGACCCGGACGGCGGCAGCTGCGTGTTCGAGGTCAATGGGGTTCCGGTGGGGCTGCTGATCTGCGAGGACCTGTGGTTCGCCGAGCCGCTGGCCGATACCGTGCGCGCCGGTGCGCAGCTGGTGGTGGTACCCAACGCGTCGCCGTACGAGCGTGGCAAGCACGCCCAGCGCGACGCGGTGCTGGCCGCGCGCACCCGCGAGAGCGGGGCAGCGATCGCCTACCTCAACGTGGTGGGGGGGCAGGATGCGCTGGTGTTCGATGGCGCCTCGGTGGTGGCCGATGGCGACGGCACCGTGCACCCGGCGGCCGCTGCCTTCGTCGACCAATGGCTGGTGGTGGACTACGACGGCCAGAGCCGCCGTTTCCTGCCGCACGTGTGGATGGACGACGGCGACGAGAGCATGGACGCGCTGGCCTGGCGTGCGGTGACGCGCGGCATCCAGGACTACTGCCGCAAGAACGGCTTCAAGAAGGTGTGGCTGGGCCTGTCCGGCGGCATCGACTCGGCCCTGGTGCTGGCGCTGGCGGTGGACGCGATGGGCGCGGAGAACGTAACCGCCGTGCGCCTGCCATCGCGCTATACCGCGGGCCTGTCCAACGACCTGGCCGCCGAGCAGTGCCAGGCGCTGGGGGTGAAGCTGGAAGCGGTGTCGATCGAGCCGGCATTCAAGGGCCTGATGGAATCGCTGGCGCCGATGTTCGAAGGCACCACGCCGGACGTGACCGAAGAGAACCTGCAGTCGCGCAGCCGCGGCGTGATCCTGATGGCGCTGGCCAACAAGTTCGGCGGACTGCTGCTGACCACCGGCAACAAGAGCGAGTACGCGGTGGGCTACGCCACCATCTACGGCGACATGTGCGGGGGCTATGCGCCGCTGAAGGACCTGTACAAGACTGAAGTGTTCGGCCTGTCCAAGTGGCGCAATACCGTGGGTGGCGCGCCGGTGATCCCACCGGCGGTGATCAGCCGCCCGCCGTCGGCCGAGCTGCGCGAGAACCAGCTGGACCAGGATTCGCTGCCGGCCTATGACGTGCTGGACGGCATCCTGTACCGCTACATCGACCAGGAGCAGTCGCGCGGGGAGATCGTGGCCGCCGGCTACGATGCGGCCGTGGTCGACCGCGTGCTGCGCCTGGTGCGCATCAGCGAGTGGAAGCGGCACCAGGCCGCGCCGGGCCCGAAGGTCTCGCGCCGCGCCTTCGGCCGTGAGCGTCGCTACCCGATCAGCAACGGCTACAAGGGCTGAGGCAGGGCGCCGGGCGTGGCCCGGCCGATGGGTGGAGCCGGCCGCTGGCCGGCTGTTGCATGACCCTCAGACAGGCCATCGGGTTGCCGGCCAGCGGCCGGCACTACCGCTACAAAAGAAGAGGGCCCCTTGCGGGGCCCTTTCTTATTTCTTTTCCAGTCGCGCGTTGCGCTGGCCGGTGCTGGCGGACTTCTCGCCGGCGAACGGGTTCAGCTTGCGGATCATCCACGGGTACTTCGGCCACTTGCCTTCCAGCCACGGGTGGTCCGGCTGGTTCAGCTGCAGGACGCGGCGGGCGTCGTCGGCCAGGGTCTTGTTGCCCAGGTGGGTGTAGGAATCGGCAAGGACGGCGACGGCATCGTACTGGAACGCGCTCTGCGGGTAGGTTTCCAGCAGGTAGTTGGCGCGGCCGGCCGCCGAGACCCAGGCGCCGCGGCGCATGTAGTACAGGGCGTTGTCCAGCTCGTGCTGGGCAAACACGTCACGCAGTTCCAGCATGCGGCTGCGCGCATCGGCGGCGTAGCGGCTGTTCGGGTAGCGGTCGACCACGATGTTGAAGTCCGAATACGCCTGGTGCGGCGTGGACAGGTCGCGGCGGCTGGCGTCCAGCGACCATACGCGGCGCAGGAAAACCGTACTGCGGTTGGAGTTGGCAAGACCGCGCAGGTAGTACAGGTACGCGATGTTGCGGTGGGTCGGGTAGGTACGGATGAAGCGGTCGATGCTGGACACCGCATCGTCGTGCTTGCCGGCCTTGTACTGGGCGTAGGCGGTTTCGATCATCGCCTGCTCGGTATAGGGACCGTACGGATACTGGGCCACCAGGCGGCGGAAGCTGGTCTCAGCCCCGCTCCAGTTGCCACCCTGCATCAGCTTGTGGCTCTTCTCGTACAACTGTTCGACCGGCGTCCCTTCATCGGGGCGATCGCCCTTCTTGGCGCCACGGTGGCAGCCGGTGGCGGCGATGACCAGCACCAGCAGCAGGGCGGTGAGGCGGACGGGCGCGGAGAGCATGGCGGAGCGTCGGATCATGGGGTCGAGGCGGGACGCGGCTGGAATACGAAGGGTCGATGATAGCCTAGTGTCCTGTCCAGCGACTGAAACCGGCCGCCGGGACCCCCAAAATTTCAAAGAATGCCCCCTGCCATGTCTGAACAACCCTCTGAATCGGCCCGCCAGGCCATCGTCCCCGACACCGCGGCCGGCCGTCGTTTCGACGCCGTCGTGGCCGAACTGTTCCCCGAATACTCGCGTTCGCGCCTGACCGAGTGGATCAAGGCGGGCGACGTCCTGCTGGATGGCGCCCAGGTGCGCCCGCGCGACCCGCTGCGCGGCGGCGAGGTGGTCACCCTCACGGTGGTGCTCGAGACCCAGACCGACGCCCAGCCGGAGGACATCCCGCTGGACGTGCTGTTCGAGGATGAGCACCTGCTGGTGATCAACAAGCCGGTCGGGCTGGTGGTCCACCCCGGCGCGGGCAACCACAGCGGCACCCTGGTCAATGCCCTGCTGTTCCGCGACCCGTCGGTGGCGGTGCTGCCACGCGCCGGCATCGTGCACCGCCTGGACAAGGACACCAGCGGCGTGATGGTGGTGGCCAAGACCCTGGAGGCGCAGACCGCGCTGGTCGAGCAGCTGGCCGCACGCGACGTGCACCGCCAGTACCTGGCCATCGTGATGGGCGCACTGGTGGCCGGCGGCACGGCCGATGCGCCGATCGACCGCCACCCGCGCGACCGCCTGAAGATGGCCGTGCGCGAGGACGGCAAGGAAGCGATCACCCACTACCGCCTGCGCGAGCGCTTCCGTGCGCACACCGCGCTGGAGTGCCGCCTGGAAACCGGCCGTACCCACCAGATCCGCGTGCACATGGCGCACGTGCGCCACCCGATCATCGGCGATCCGCTGTACGGCGGCGCGCTGAAGCTGCCCAAGGGCGCCAGTGACGAGCTGGTGGCCGCGCTGCGCGGCTTCAAGCGCCAGGCCCTGCATGCCGAAACCCTGGAGTTCACCCACCCGATCACCGGCGAGCCGGTGCGCAACACCGCACCGGTGCCGGAAGACATGCTGCACCTGATGAAGGTGCTGCGCGAAGACAGCGAAGCCTTCGCCGCACGCGAGCGGGACCGCTGGTGATGGCGGCCGCGCTGCCGTTGCTGCAGGCCGACTGGCCAGCGCCAGCAGGCGTCCATGCGCTGACCACGCGCCGGCATGGCGCGGGCATCTCGCCGGCGCCGTTCGCGCAGTTCAACCTGGGCAACCGGCACGCGGCCGATGGTGATACCCCGGCCAATGTCGAGCACAACCGCCAGCTGCTGCAGCAGGGGCTGGCGCTGCCGTCTGCGCCGCATTGGTTGCGCCAGGTGCACAGCAGTACCGTGCTGCGCTTCAACGCACCACCGGTGCCGGGCGCCAGTGAGCCGGTGGCCGACGCTGCGGTGACCTCGGTGCCCGGCGTGGTGCTGGCGATCCTGACCGCCGACTGCCTGCCGGTGGTGTTCGCGGCCACCGACGGCAGTGAGGTGGGCGCGGCCCATGCCGGCTGGCGCGGGTTGGCCGACGGCATGCTGGAGGCCACCGTGGCCGCCCTGGAGACACCGCCAGCGCAGTTGCGGGCCTGGCTGGGCCCGGCTGCCGGGCCGGCCGACTACGAGATCGGCGAAGAGGTCTTCCACGCTTTTGTCGGGCATGACCCGGCTGCGGAGGCGGCTTTCATGGCGACCCGGCCCGGGCACTGGAAGGTGGACCTGTTCGCGCTGGCCCGCCAGCGCCTGCAGGCCGCCGGCATGGACCCGGCGCAGGTGCATGGCGGCACGGTGTCGACCATGGCCGACCCGGACCTGTACTCGCACCGGCGCGACCGTCGCACCGGGCGCATGGCGACGCTGGCCTGGATCGCGCGCTGAGCACGCCGCTGTTCGCGCGCGTGCTGGGGCCGGCCTTTGCCACCCTGGCGGCGCCGGTACAGGCACTGCATACCGCTGCGCTGCCCTGCCGCTACGTGGGGCAGGCGCGGATCGAGCGCGGACGGCACTGGCTGGTGCCGCTGCTGGCCGCCCTGGCGCAGTTGCCGAGGGAGGGCGAGGCGCTGCCGACCGAAGTGGCGTTCAGTGCACACGGGCAGGGCGAACGCTGGGCACGCCGGTTCGGCCGCTGGCCGATGGTGTCGCGGCTGTGGGCGCACGAGGGCCATCTGCGTGAGCAGCTGGGCGCGGTGCGTTTCGAGTTCGATTTGCAGGCCCGCGAGGGCGGCATCGATTGGTCGGTGCGCCGGGTGTGGGCGTTCGGGCTGCTGCCGCTGCCCAGGCGCTGGTTTGGCGGCGTGCGCTGCCGCGAAGCGGGGCAGGGGCAGGGGCAGCGTTACACTTTCCGGGTTGATGTGACCTTGCCCTGGGCAGGAGCCCTGATCCGCTATGAAGGCTGGCTCGAACCGCAGTGAAGCCGCCGCCGCCGACGGTGCGGTGATCGTGTTCGACGGTGTCTGCGCACTGTGCAACCGCTGGGTGCGCTTCCTGCTGCGCTTCGACCGCAAGGGCCGCTATCGCTTCGCGGCGATGCAGGGCGCCCAGGGCAGTGCGCTGCTGCGCGCGCATGGACTGGATCCGCAGGACCCACGGTCATTCCTGCTGCTGGATGCGCAGGGCGCATGGACAGACACCGATGCGATCCTGCGCGTGCTGGCCGGGTTGGGCGGCGCCTGGCGCCTGAGCGGTGTGCTGCGTGCGCTACCGCGAAGCTTGCGTGATGCGGCGTATGGGGTGCTGGCGCGCAATCGTTACCGCTGGTTCGGGCGGCATGACGCCTGCCTTTTGCCGCCGCCAGAACAGGCCGCGCGCTTCCTGGATTGAACAAAAAGGGGACGGAGGGAATTAAGTCGTTTATGCATAAACGACTTAATTCCCTCCGTCCCCTTTTTTCAGTCGAGCAGCTGATAGGCGATGCGACGGTTCTGCGCGCGTCCGATGTCGCTGCGATTGTCGGCGACCGGCCGGTCCTGGCCGTAGCCCACCGCGACCAGCGAGGTGGCGGGGACGCCCAGCGCCTGCAGCGCGTGTGATACCGCCTCGGCGCGCTGCTGGCTGAGCTGCAGGTTGGCTTGGGCGTGGCCGCGACCATCGGTGTGCGCGCCGATCTCAACACGCTTGCCGTCGGGCGCTCTGCGCAGCGCATCCGCGACGGCCTCCAGGGTCTGCCGCGAGTCGCCGGTCAACTCGGACGAACCGGCGTGGAACTTCAGCGTGGTCTGGTTCAGCGCTTCAATCCGCTGCGCGGCATCGGCGTGCGTCGGCAGCTGCGACAGCGCCGCTAGTCCCGGGCCCCACAGGCCGCTCATGTCCAGTGCCGGGAAGTCCTGGCGCAACCTGTGCGAGATGGCCAGCCGCTGCGCGTCCTCCATCAGCGAGGTGTCGATGCGCAGCTGCGATCCGGCGAATTCCAGCCGCAGCCCATCGCCCTGCAGCTGCGGAAGATCGGCAATCAGGCGATCCAGCCAGCGCGGCGCGCGTGCGCGTGGGTCCAGCGTTATCCCGCCCTGCACGTTCTGCCGGCCGTGTACCGCCAGCAGCGTGCTCCAGATACGGCGACGATCCCCCTCGGTGGGCAGGCTGCCGTGCACCTGCATCTGTGTGCCATGTTGCTGCAGGGACAGGTAGGCGTCGTGTTCGAGTGGAATGTCCGGCACCGTCCACAGGGGCGTGCGGGCCTTCAGCTGCAACCAGGTGGTGAGGCCGAGGACAACGACAATGGCCAGCAGCCACAACAGGCTGCGCACGGCCCTCCCATACATCGCGCGCGTTGGCACCGTGCCGGTCATGCGCCGGGGCGATGGGCCCGCGATGCTGCGATGGACATGCGGAGAGGGCACCAGGCCGCCCGGCGCATCCATCAGCGTGACCACCCCGGGCAGAAGATGGCAGGCGACCACCCTGAAAGCACCGGGTGACATGCCACAGCGATGCGCGATCATGGCCAGCGTGTGTGCGCCCAGCGCGCGTTCGAGCTCACTGGCGACGATGGGCAGCCGCAACGCTGCCGGTTGCCGCCAGGAATGAAAACGGGAGGCCAGACCTGCCTGTTCAAACCGCTGCTGCAGACCGTCCAGGCCCCGGTGATGGGAGGTTATCCAGACGCTGATGACCTCCACCACCCAGCGGGCGCGATGGCCCAGCTCGAGGCGTGTTGCGGCATCTTCGATGAAACGGTCGTACGCAGACATGCAGTGACTCCCTGGAATGTGATGTGCGTCGCGCCGCGCAGCAGGCGCGACGGATTGCGATGGCTCCGGGGGCGCCACTCTGGGGAGCGCGCGTCAATGCATGGTGAAATGCTGGGGGTGATGCCTCTTTCGTTTCGGCGGGCCCTGCGGCAGGGCCCGCCGCTGGATGCGGCGAGGCCTAGTGCACAGCGGGATCTGCACGGTGGCCCCGGACCGCTGGCGCGCCGTGGGACGCCCTTCTCCGGGTCGCCGGAATGGTTTCAGGTGCACCTACTTTCGGGCTTAAAACGACAATCTGCGAGCGCTCTTGGCGCCCTTCTGTCGCTTCATGCTGGGCTGGTTGCGCGATCCCTCAGTTCTCCAGCGCGTCCAGGTAGCTGCGCCGCCAGTGGTTGATGTCGTAGGTGCGCAGGTGGTCCATCATCGCGTGCCAACGCTCCTTGCGCCTGCGCAGCGACATCGTCGCAGCGGTGGCGATCGCATCGGCCACGCCGTCCAGGTCGTGTGGATTCACCAGCAGCGCCTGTTTCAGTTCATCGGCGGCACCGGCCAGCAGCGACAGCACCAGCACGCCGGGATCCTCCGGGTCCTGCGAGGCCACGTACTCCTTGGCCACCAGGTTCATGCCGTCGCGCAGCGGCGTTACCAGGCCCACCGCCGCCGCCCGGTAGAATCCGGTGAGGGTGGCATGGGTGAAGTTCTGGTTGACGTAGCGCAGGGGTGTCCAGTCCGGCTCGGCGTGACCGCCGTTGATGTGGCCGGCGATCTGTTCCAGCTGGCTGCGCAGTTGCCGGTACTCGGTCACGTCGCCACGCGAGACCGGGGCGATCTGCAGGTAGGTCAGCGAGCCGCGCTGGTCGGGATGACGCTGCAGGTAGCGCTCGAAGCCGAGGAAGCGCTCGGGCAGGCCCTTGGAGTAGTCCAGGCGGTCGACACCGATCGCCAGCTGGCGGTCACGCAGGCTGTTGCGCAGATTCTTCACCGCGGCCTTGGTGGCGGCGGTGCCGGCCTGGCGCGCGATCAGGTCGGTGTCGATGCCGATCGGGAAGGCGGCTGCGCGGAAACGGCGCCCACCGGGAGCTTCCAGTTCGCCGTTGTCGAGCACGCGGCCGCCGCCGAACAGGCGCAGGTAGGTCTGGAAGCGATCGGCGTCGCGCTGGGTCTGGAAGCCGACCAGGTCGTAGGCATACAGCGCGGAGAACAGCCGCAGGTGATCGGGCATGGCCTGCAGCAGGTCGGCCGAGGGCATCGGGATGTGCAGGAAGAATCCGATGCGGCAGCCGATGCCGCGTTCGCGCAGCAACGCACCGAGTGGAATCAGGTGGTAGTCGTGGATCCACACGATGTCGTCCTCGCGCAGCAGCGGGGCGAGCTTGTCGGCGAACAGCGCGTTGACCTTGTGGTAGGTCTCGCGGGTGCCACGGTCGTAGTCGACCAGGTCCAGGCGGAAGTGCAGCAGCGGCCACAACGTGCGGTTGGCGAAGCCGTTGTAGTAACCGTCGACTTCGCGCTTGCTCAGGTCCAGGGTGACGAACTCGATGTCGCCGTCCTTCTGCGTGTGCAGCGTGCCACTGCCCTCGCGCACGCTCTTGCCGCTCCACCCGAACCACATGCCGCCGCGTTCCTTCAACGCGGCCAGCAGGCCGACCGCCAGGCCGCCGGCGCGGTTCTCGCCGGGCACTGCCACGCGGTTTGAAACCACTACAAGACGACTCACGATGCCTCCTGCCAGGACCGCGACAGGCGCATCGCGGCCGTGATCAGGCCGACGTGCGAATAGGTCTGCGGGAAATTGCCCCACGCCTCGCCACTGTCGAAGGCCAGGTCCTCCGACAGCAGGCCCAGGTGGTTGCGCTGCTGCAGCAACGTTTCGAACATCGCGCGCGCCTCGTCCAGGCGCCCGATCGCGGCCAGCGCATCGATGTACCAGAACGTGCAGATGGTGAAGCTGGTTTCCGGCTCGCCGAAGTCATCCGGGGCGACGTAGCGGTACAGCGAATTGCCATGCTTGAGGTCGCGGCCGATGGCGTCGACGGTAGCGATGAAGCGGGCGTCCAGCGCATCGATGAAACCGATGTCGGCCAGCAGCAGCAGCGAGGCATCCAGGCGATGGCCACCGAAGGTATCGGTGAAGTGGCCCAGCTCCTCGCTCCAGGATTCGGCCATGATGCGCGCGTGGATGGTGTCGGCACGTTCGCGCCAGTAGCGTGCGCGGTCGTCGCGCTTCAGGCGCACGGCGATCTTGCACAGGCGGTCGCAGGCGGCCCAGCACATCGCGCTGGTGTAGGTGTGCACCTCGGTGCGGCCGCGGAATTCCCACAGGCCGGCATCGGGTACGTCATGCAGGGCAAAGGCCTGTTCGCCCAGCGGTTCCAGTCGGGCGAAGGTGTGCGCGTCGCCCGGGTCCTGCAGGCGGCGGTCGAAGAACAGCTGCGTGGAGGCCAGCACCACGCTGCCGTAGACATCGTGCTGGCGCTGCACCCAGGCCAGGTTGCCACGGCGCACCGGGCCCATGCCGCGATAGCCGGACAGGCTGGGCACTTCGTCCTCATCAAGTTTGGCCTCGAAGCCGATGCCGTACAGCGGCTGCAGCGTGCCGTCGGTGGTGGCCAGGTTGAAGATATAGCCGAGGAACTGCTCCATCGTGCGCGTCGCGCCCAGGCGGTTCAGCGCACGCACCACGAACGCGGCATCGCGCAGCCAGCAGTAGCGGTAGTCCCAGTTGCGCACGCTGCCGGGTGCCTCCGGAATGGAGGTGGTCATCGCCGCGATGATCGCGCCGCTGTCCTCGTACTGGCAGAGCTTCAGGGTGATCGCGCTGCGGATCACCGCGTCCTGCCATTCCAGCGGAATGGACAGGTAGCGCACCCACTCGCGCCAGTAATCGCGGGTGCGCTGGAAGGCTTCCTGCACATAGCCGCTGATCGAGCGGTTGAGTGATTCATCGACACCCAGGATCAGGTGGATGGGATGGTTGAGCACGAACGGCAGGCCCTCGCGCACGAAGCGCACCGGCACATCGGTGGTCAGCCGCAGCACGTGCTCGGGCAGGATCCAGCGCACGTGGTTGCTGCCCCAGGTGGACTCGGGCACGCGCGCGCCCCAGTCCGCCAGGGGCCGCGCACGCACCGTGATGCGTGGGCTGCCGGCCAGGGGGCGCACCTGCCGGATCAGGCTGACCGGGCGGTAGAAGCGGTCGTTCTGGCGCCAGCGCGGGGCGAAATCGAGGATTTCCAGCGCACCGCCGTGCGTGTCGCGCAGCACGGTGCGCAGGATTGCGGTGTTGGTGAGGTATTCCTGTTCACTGTCGGCGAAGTCTTCCAGCTCGATGGCGAAGTCGCCACCGGTCTGCTGATTGGGGCCGAGCAGGGCGCAGAAGGTGGGATCGCCGTCGAAGGTGGGCAGGCAGCTCCAGACAACGCGGGCATGTTTGTCGACCAGGGCGCCGAAGCTGCCGTTGCCGACCACGCCCAGATCAAGATCGGGTTGGGTCATCACGCGGTACATCTCGTCGGTTGCGGCCGTGGGGGATGGCCGGGTCAATAGGCATTCTCACGCAGCCAGGCGTGCACGCTGCGTATGTCGGGCAGCGCGAACACCGCCGCGCTGGGTTCACGTTCACCCACCAGCACGCTCCAGCCATGCTGGCCGTTGGCAGCGTCGAAGCCGAATTCGTCGGTGAGGTCATCGCCGAGGAACACCGGCAGGCGGCCGCGGAACGGCAGGTACTGCATCATCCGGCGCACCGCGCGGCCCTTGTCGGTACCCACCGGGACGAACTCGACCACATGGTCGCCCGGTTGCAGGCGATAGCTGGTACGGCCGCGCACGTGGCGGTCGGCGAAGGCACGCACCTCGCTGGCCGCGTGCGGAGCGCCGCGCCAATGCAGGGCCAGGCCGACGCCCTTGTCTTCCACCAGCACGCCGGGATGGCCATGGGCGAAGCGCATCGCCTGCTGGTGCAGGGCGTGCAGCCACTCGGCGGTATCGTCGTCGTGCGCGTCGCGCAGCACGCGGCCGTCCTGGGCGCGCAGTTCGTGGCCGTGCAGCCCGGCGGCAGGCAGTTGCAGCGGTGCAAACAGCTGGTCCAGCTGTTCAAGGGGGCGACCACTGACCAGTGCCACGGCACCTTCCAGGCGGTCGCTGATGCGGCCGATGGCTTCACGCACATCCGGCAGCAACTGCACGGCATCCGGGCGTGCAGCGAATTCGATCAGGGTGCCGTCGACATCGAGGAACAACGCGCAGGCGTCGTCCAGCAATGGCGGTGGCGGACGCAGGGGGAGCGGTTCAGCCATGACGCCCAGCTTGCCAGCGTGGGCGTGTACGTGGGGTCGAGGTCAGGCTACGGCCTTGCTTCGGTGGGTGCCGACCGTTGGTCGGCACTGCAGGTCGGCCTGCATGGAACCCAGGCAGTGCGGACCAACGGTCCGCACCCACCCAAGGCAATGACACCCAGGGCAATCAGAACGTGTAGCGGACGCGACCGTAGTAGTACGCGCCGTTGCTGCCGATCGGCGACAACACGTCATACGGCAGGTTGCCGAAGTAGTGGATATCGCTGTTGGATCGATCCGGGTAGTTGTCGGTCAGGTTCTGGCCGCCGATGGCCACGCTCCAGCGCGGGGTGATGCGGTACTCCACTTCCGCATCCAGCTGCCATTCGGCCTGGTAGGTCTGGCGCGGGATGTAGCCATCACCGAAGTTGAACACGCGGGTGGCGCTGCCGTAGCGGTTCACGCGGGTGCTCAGCGACCAGTGATCATTGCTCCATGCGGCCGAGAAACTGCCGCGCGTACGCGGCGTGGCGTCGGTGAGGGTGTTGGTCTCTTCAATGCCGAACAGCACGTAGTCCGGGTTCAGTGCACGCAGCTGTGCCGGCGTGGCCAGCACGTTCTTCAGCGTGGTCTTGGTGTACGCATAGGTGCCGGTCAACAGCAGCTGGCCGTTGCCCAGCGATTGGCGCCAGTTGCTCACCAGTTCGGCGCCGCGGGTGCGGGTGTCGGCGGCGTTGACGAAGAAGCTGGCGCTCTGCAGGCCGCTGACGCCGTAGTTGGCCGCCACGTAGTCGGTCAGCGCATCGCCGGTGATGCTCTCCGACAGTGCGATGCGGTCATCGATGTCGATCTGGAAGAAGTCCAGCGACAGGTCGAAGTGCTCGCCGATGCGGCTGGTGAAGCCCAGCGAGGTGTTGAGCGACTTTTCCGGCTTCAGGTTCTGCGCACCCAGGCCGCGCGCGATCGGATTGTTGACCGACAGCAGGCGGCCCTGCACCAGCTGGCCGCCGGCGTTGTAGCCGGTGGAGGTGGATTCGTAGCCGATCTGCGCCAGCGACGGTGCACGGAAGTTGTTGGAGATCGCGCCGCGCAGCGCGAAGGCCGGGGTGAATTCGTAGCGCAGGCCGAGCTTGCCGGTCAGTTCGCCACCGAAGTCATCGTTGTGCTCGTAGCGCGCGGCCAGGTCGGTGGAGAACTTCTCGCCGAACTGGCTGGACAGGCTGGCATAGGCGCTGGCGACATCGCGCGACAGGGTAGCCGCGTCCTGCGGGGTCAGACCGCCACCGGCCTGCGACCCGGTCGGGCGGTCGGTGTACGGGCCGGCGGCGTAGCTGGCCGGGTCGCCGGGGCGGGTCTGGTAGCGCTCGTGGCGCGCTTCCACGCCCAGGCCCAGCGTGTGGCTGATGCTGTCGCTCTGGGTGAATACACGGCTCAGGTCGAGGTTGCCCACCGTCTGCGCGTACTGGTAATCGGCGGTCTTGAAGCGGGTCGGGCTGGTCGGGCCCAGCGAGGCGTTGAGCGAATCACGCAGGCGGTAAGTGAAGTCGTTCTGGCCGTAATCCAGGCTGCCGTCGTAGCTCCATTCGCCCCACTGGCCGCGCACGCCGGCCACGGCCTGCACGTCGCGGTTCTCGCCTTCGGAGATCGGCCGGTAGCCGTTCGGATAGACCTGCTTCCAGTTGGCATCGCCGTCGGGATAGCGGAAGTAGTTCGCGCCTTCGGTGTCACGCTGGTTGAAGGTGCCGAACGCGTAGAAGGTCGAGGTCTGGCCCACCGGGATCTCGGTGTTCAGCCACAGGTTGATGTCCTTGCTCTTGCCATCGCCCAGCACGTAGTTGCGCTTGCCCTGCAACGCGAGGTTGTCCGGGGTCTGGTCCCACGGCGGAATCTGGTCGAAGCCGGCGCGGTTGGTGCCGTTGCGGTGCTTGTACTCCAGGCCGACGCGCAGGAAGCCGCCATCCTCGCCCAGCGCGGTACCGACCTTGGCGCTGATGTTGCCGGTCTGGCCGTCGGTGAGGGTGCGGCCGATCGGCTTGAGGTCGGTGTGGTTGGCGCCGTAACTGGCTTCGATCTCGCCACCGTCGCCGCCGTTGTCGAGGATCACGTTGATCACGCCGGCCACGGCATCCGAGCCGTACAGAGCACCGGCGCCATCGCGCAGCACTTCGATGCGCTTGATCGCGCTGACCGGAATCGAGTTGAAGTCGACCGGGGTGGTGCCTTTGCCGATCTTGCTGTCGGTGTTGACCAGCGCGGTGTGGTGGCGGCGCTTGCCGTTGACCAGGACCAGCACCTGGTCCGGCGACAGGCCGCGCAGCTGCGCGGCGCGCACGTGATCGGCGCCGCCGGAGTTGGACTGGCGCGGGAAGTTGAACGACGGCAGCAGCGCCTGCAGCGCGCTGCCCAGTTCACCGTTGACCACGCCGGCCTTGCGGATGTCCTCGGCGGTGAGCACATCCACCGGCGAGGTGGATTCGAGCACGGTGCGGTCGGCGGCACGGGTGCCGGTGACGATCACCGTATCGAGGTTGGTCGCGTCCTGGGCCAGGGCGGGGACGGCGGCGGGGGAGAGCGCGAGGGTGATGGCGAGGCCGAGCGGCGACGCGGGCAGGCGGGCGGACATGGGGGCTCCAGCAACAACGACGACGGGGAAGGGGGAGATAGTTTCACTTACATCCATCCGGATGAAGCGATATATTATCTTCGCGTGATGACCACTGCCGGCGCAAGCCCCTGCCGGTCCGGCATGAGCTGATGCCCGGTTGGCATCAGCACGCCGGGCCGGTGGCGCTGTACGCTGCCGGCTCGCCCTGTCCCCCTATTTGCCCGGAGCTGTACCGATGAAACACCTTGGCCTCGTCTTTGCCGTGCTGCTGGCCACCAGCGGCTGCGCCAGCCTGTCCTCGCAGGCGCCCAGTGCGTATGCCACGGCCACCACCGCCGAACTGAAGGGCGATGCGGCACGCCCGTCCGACGGCCACGGCTGGGTGCGCAGCGAGCTGTATTTCGGCGTGGGCGAAGAGCAGGGCGCAGGCAGCCGTCCGCAGGCCGACACCATCAGCGAGGCGCAGTGGCGCGCGTTCCTGGACAAGGAAGTGACCCCGCGCTTCCCGGATGGCCTGACCGTGTTCGATGCCTACGGCCAGTGGCTGTTCCGCGGCGATGCTTCGCCCAACCGCCTGCGCACCAAGGTGCTGGTGGTGCTGCACGAGGACACCCCGCAGCGCCGGGCCGACATCGAGGCGATCCGCCTGGCGTGGAAGCAGCAGACCAGGCATCAGTCGGTGCTGTGGTCGCGGCAGCCGGTCGAGGTATCGTTCTGAGTTGAAGGTGCCGCCGCGGTGCCGCAGGGAGCGATGATGGATTACAGGGAGTGGGTGCTGGGCGTGGTGCTGGCTGGCGTGCTGGCACCGTCGGCGCAGGCGGGCGGGGACGGCGGCGAAACCCTGCGGTTCCAGGTGGCCGCTCACGTGCAGGCGCACGCTGATCCGCAGCAGGACGGCAACATTGCGGTGCAGCTTTCGCCGTCGGGCAAGCGCCAGACGCTGGCCGGCGCGGCGGATGCGGACGGCAACTCGCGGTGGGATCTGGAGGACGTCGACTTCGATGGCTATCCGGAACTGATCGCACGCGCATCGGTGGGCATGGTCAATGAAGCGGTGGCGGTGTACCGCTTTGATCCGGCCAGTGGCGGGTTCCGTGCGCTGCGGGCTGAAACCCATGGCAAGGACAGCTGCGGTGACCTGATGGGGCTGACGGTCGATCGTGCGAGTCGCACCCTGACCAGCAGTTGCCGCAGTGGTCCGATGTGGTACGCCGACCAGTACCGGTTTGCAGGTTCGAAGCTCTATCTGTACCGCGCCGAGAGCGTATTGATGCTGGGCGACACGCTGAACGCCGCGCTGCATTGGGAACAAAGCGACGAGCAAGGGCCACTGGCGGTCTGGCGGACCTATGACCCCGCTGGAAAAGTACGTGAGAGCGCCATCGCCGATGGCCTGGGCGCACCGCCCGACGGGCCGCTGCGCGGTCAGCAGGCAACGGTGGTGCCAGCGCGCCTGTTCCTGTTCGACAGGCCCGGCGCGTCCAGCACCCCGCGTTACCTGGTGCAGGGCGACCGTGTGGAAATGCTGGATGAACAGGACGGCTGGATGAAGCTGCGCTACCAGAATCCGAAACGCGGTGCGGTGCTGGGCTGGATCAACGTCAACGATTAACCGGACATCCGTCCGCAGTTTGCACATCGAGGTGATGCGCAATTTGCCCACGGAGGCATCACTTCGCCGGGTCTAGCCTCGGACGTTCCCCCGTTCGAGGATGTATCCGATGAGCAAGCGCGTGGCCGAGATTGTGGTGGACACCCTGCAGCAGGCAGGCGTCCGCCGCTGTTATGGCATCGTGGGCGATACGCTCAACCATGTGACCGATGCGATGCATGGCAGCGACATTGCCTGGGTGCACGTACGCCATGAGGAAGTGGCCGCGTTCGCCGCCGGTGCCGATTCGCTGGTGAGTGGCGAACTGACCGCCTGTGCCGGCTCCTGTGGCCCCGGTGGCCTGCATTTCATCAACGGCATCTTCGAAAGCAATCGCAATCGCGCGCCGATGGTGCTGATCGCCAGCCAGATCGTCACCAGCGAGCTGGGCATGGAGTTCCCGCAGGAAGTGGATTTCAAGGCGGTCTATGGCAGCTGCACGGTGTTCTGCGAACAGGTGCACAGCCCCCGCGCAGGCGCGGCGCGTGGTGGCGCTGGCCTGCCAAGCCGCGATCAGCCGCCGCGGCGTGGCGGTGGTGATCCTGCCGGCCGACATCAGCGAGGCCGAAGTGAAGCACGATGTGCCGTTCTCGGTGCACTACACCCAGCCGGTGCTGCGCCCCTCTGATGCTGAACTGCAGCGCATCGCCGAGCTGCTGGGGCAGGGCAGGCGCATCGGCATCTATGCCGGTGCAGGTTGCCAGGGCGCACACCCGCAGCTGCTGGAATTGGCGCGGCGCCTGCAGGCGCCGGTCGCGCATACCTCGCGCGCCAAGGACTTCGTCGAGCCTGACAACCCCTACAACATGGGCATGACCGGCATCTTCGGCATCGAATCGGGCTTCCACACGCTGATGGAATGCGACACGTTGCTGCTGCTCGGCGCTGATTTCGCGTGGGGCCAGTTCTATCCGGACAAGGCCACGATCATCCAGGTTGACCGCGACGGCAGCCATCTGGGCCGCCGCCATCCGGTGAACCTGGGCGTGGTCGGTGACATCGCGCCGACGCTGGACGCCTTGTTGCCGATGCTGCCGCCACGCGAGGACAGCAGCTTCCTGGACGAATGCGTCGAGCGCCGCGACAAGGCACTGAAGAAGCGTGAGCAGGAAGAGCAGCCGGGCGAGGGTGAGTTGATCCATCCGCAGCATCTGACCGCGTTGTTGTCGAAGTACGCGACGGACGACGCGCTGTTCACCGCCGACGGTGGCTCACCGATGGTGTGGGTGCTGCGGCATATCCGGGTAAACGGCCGCCGCCGTACGCTGACCAGCCTGTTGCACGGCACGATGGCCAACGCGATGCCACAGGCGCTGGGCCTGCAGAAGGCGTTCCCGGGGCGGCAGGTGATCTCGTTGTCCGGCGACGGCGGCCTGGCGATTGCTGCTGGGCGACCTGCTGACCGCCGTGCAGGAAAACCTGCCGATCAAGGTGGTGGTGTTCAACAACGGCTCGCTGAATTTCGTCGAGCTGGAGCAGAAGGTGGAAGGCCTGCTGGACAACTACACCGACCTGAAGAACCCGGATTTCGGCCGCCTGGCCGAGGTGATCGGCTTCCACGGCCGCACCGTCACCCGCAGCGAGGATCTGGAAGAGGCGGTGCAGGACTTCCTGTCCCAGCGCGGCCCGGCGTTGCTGGATGTGCATACCAGCCGCGCGGAGCTGGTGATGCCGCCGCAGATCGAGGCGAAGCAGGTCGCGGGTACCGCGCTGTATGCGGCCAAAGCGGTGTTGAACGGCCGCTTCGACGACGTGAAGCATCTGCTGGTGGACAACTTCCTGAAGAAGTAACGGGGTGGGTTTGATGCAGGGCTGCGCCCTGCACCCGCCGAATCAACATCAACGGCAACCGCAACGTCAAAAGCGGGCAATCCGTGGGATGGCGGGGTGGGTCCGGTTGCGGGGGACGCTGCAAGTCCCCCTCCGGGGCCCGGCCCAGCCGCTGGCGGCTGTGCGTTCGGGCGCTTGCGAAGCGGTGCTTCGCAAGCAAAGCGCCCTCACCCATGTAAGCTCGGTCGCCGCATCCATGCGGCTCACGCCCCCGCAACCGGACCCACCCCGCCTTCGACAGATTTCCGCGATCTGTCGATAGGTCCACGCCATGTATGGATGAGCGAAAGAGTGTTCGGAATGATCTTCTGTAGAGCCGAGCCATGCTCGGCTCAGAGCGAAGCGACCCCGCTTTTGCTTTTGATCTTTTGATTCTTTTCCGTGGCTGGCACGCGCAGGAAACTGTCAGGGGTCGGGCGGGTAGGTGGCGCGGGGGTGTCCGCGGCATGGATGCCGCGGCCAAGCCCCCAGGGATGGGTTTACGGCGTCCCCCGCGCCACCTACCCGCCCGGCCCTGCCGAGGAAATCGCTGTTCGCGCCCCAGCCACGAGGGGCCCCGCCGTTGGCTGGAACCCCATCATTCCATGACGGAATTGGCGCGCCGGCCCCGCTGGGCCTACCATCGGCGGTCCCCACCCCCACCCCCACCGCCCCTTCCATGTCCGCTCCCGCTTCCGCCGCACCGCGTCGCTGGTTCGTTGCCGGCGACTTCAACGGCTTCTTCGGCCTGGTCGTCGACAACCTCTCCATCCTCGGCTTCATTGCCATGGCCCTGGTCGGCATCTTCCAGTTCCCCGCCGACGTAGTGTTCGGCCGCATGTTCCCCGGTACCGCCTTCGGCGTGCTGGTCGGCAACCTGCTGTACACGCTGATGGCGCGACGGCTGGCCGCGCGCACCGGCCGCGACGATGTCACCGCCATGCCGCTGGGCCTGGACGCGCCGACCAGCATCGGCATGGCCCTGCTGGTGCTCGGCCCGGCCTTCATCGCCTTCAAGCAGCAGGGCCTGGACCCGCATGCCGCCGGCATCGCCACCTGGCAGCTGGGCATGGCCGCGCTGGTCATCATGGGCCTGCTGAAGTTCGTGCTGTCGTTCTTCGGCGAAGCGGTCACCCGCGCGCTGCCACGTGCCGCGCTGCTGGGGTCCATCGCCGGCATCGCGCTGGTGCTGATGGGGCCTGCTGCCGCTGCTGGAAACGCTGCGCTCGCCGCTGGTCGGCTTCACCACGCTGGGCCTGCTGCTGTACGTGCTGATTGCCAAGGGCAAGCTGCCGGTGCGTGGCCCGGGCGTGCTGCTGGCCTTCGTGTTCGGCACCGTGCTGTATTACGGCCTGGGCCTGGCAGGGCTGGGCGCGCCGGGCTTCCATGTGCCGGCGTGGGTGCCGCCGCAGGTGGTGCTGCCCGCTGCCGACGCTGGGTTTCCTTGATGGCCTGCCCACGGCGATGACCTACCTGCCGCTGCTGCTGCCGTTCGGCCTGCTGATGGTGGTCGGCGGCATCAACGTGTCCGAAAGCGCACGCGCGGCCGGTGATGACTACCGCACCCGCGACATCCTGCTGGTGGAAGCGGTGGCCACGCTGGTGGCCGGTGTCTGCGGCGGCGTTGCGCAGACCACGCCGTACATCGGCCAGCCGGCCTACAAGCACATGGGGGCGCGCAGCGGCTATACGCTGCTGACCGGCCTGTTCGTCGGCATCGGCGGCATGCTTGGCATCATCTCCGGGCTGGTGCAGTGGCTGCCGCTGGCGGTGCTGGCACCGATCATCGTGTACGTGGCCATCGACATCACCACCCAGGCGTTCCAGGCCACGCCACGCCACCACACCGGTGCGATGGTGTTCGGCTTCCTGCCGTCGGTGGCGTACCTGCTGGCGATCAAGGCGCCAGGCTGGATCGCACCGGACCAGCTGCCGCAGCTGTTGACCAAGCTCGACGGCCATGGCCTGCCGGAACTGGCGGTGATCTTCACTCTCGGCAACGGCTTCATCATCACCTCGATGCTGTGGATCTCGGTAGTGGCGGCGATGATTGATGGTCGCCTGCGCCGCGCCTGCGGTTTCCTGCTGGTGGCTGCGCTGTTGACCCTGTTCGGCCTGATCCACTCGGTGGACCCGCGCGGTGGCATCTACCTGCCGTGGGACCTGGACGGGCTGGCGCGCATCATCAGCTGGCAGTTCGCCGGCGCTTACGTGGCGCTCGCGCTGCTGCTGGGGCTGTTGTCGTTGCAGAAGCAGGCGGTGAAGCCGCTGGGCGGGGTCAGCTGACCGCACGGTGATGCCGGCCAGCAGCCGGCACTACCGTTCTGCGTCGAGTTCCGGGTAGTGGCGGAAGATGCCGTTGGTATTGAACGCCAGCCGCCGTTCCGAAGTGAGGTAGGCGGCGATGTTCGGGCGCTTCGCCACGCGCTCCTGCAGCGCACGCAGCAGGGGCAGGGTGGGCGCCAACGCCTGCATCCGCCGTGGGAACATGTAGTCCAGCCCACTCAGCAGCTGGAACAGCGACAGGTCCACATAGGAGTGCTCGCGCAGGGCATGGCGGCCACCGTTGGCGGCCAGTACCTGTTCGAAATGGCCGAGGAACTTCGGCAGTCGTTCGCCACGCAGTGAAGCCGCACGTGCCTTGGCCTCGGTCTTCTGCTCTTCGTAGTATTTCGACGCGGCGATCGGATGGTGGGTGTCATGCACCTCGGCCACCAGGTCGGCGATGGTCAGTTGCAACTGCAGCGCCTGCATCCGCCGCGACGCGGCCTGCGGCACCAGATCCAGGGTCGGACCGAGAAAATCCAGGATTGCCGCCACCTGCGCGATCACCTGGCGGCCCGCCTTCAGGAACGGTGGTGCGAAGGGCAGTGCTCCCTCGCTGTTTCCATCGAGGAACGGCTGCATTACTGCATCGCCATGCACCCGCGCCATGTCGATGTAATCGGCGCCGGCATCTTCCAGCGCCAGCCGCACGAATTCACCCCGGCCCTGGATGCCGGTCCAGTAGTACAGCGCGTACTGCATGGCAGCGTCTCCGCACGACAAGATCCCCAGCCTCGCGCAGGGTGTGCAAAGCAGGCGTGAGCGTGGCGCATGCGCAGGCCCCAACCCCAACGGCAGCGGAACAGGCGGGGAACCCACCGCAATCAATCCGGTCACACCTTGTCCATCGCAGGTGAACAACGAGGGACTGCATCATGCAGAGTGGAAAGGCGGTATGGCCCTGGGTGCTGGGCGTGGTGGAGTACTCTGCGTTGATACCACTGCTT